CTCGGAGTTCTTGACAAGATCCAGAGACGTATATGTAATATAATTAGCCCTGATCTGGCATCTCGTCTACAGTCACTCTCTCACAGACGCGCCGTCACCTCTCTCTGTCTTTTCTACAAATACTTCCATGGTAATTGCTCCGATGAACTGCTTTCACTGGTTCCCAGACTCCATGAATTCAAGCGCCTTACGAGGCTGGCATCCTGCTCCCACCCTTTCACTGTTGAAACTATTAAATGTAGCCGTCTCTTCTACTCCAATAGCTTCATACCTTGCACCTCTCGCCAGTAGAACACCCTTCCCAATTACTGTTTCCCTGAGAGCTATAATCTCCAACTATTCAAATGTAATGTCAATCGACATCTCCAGTTGCCTTGATCTATCCACTATCCTTCTCCTCATCCTTTCTTCTATCACTCCTATCTGATCTTGCTCCAAATCTTCTGCAATCCCCTGCATCCTAGTGGCTTCACACCTTGCTCGGGGCGTAATGCTTAAAAAGAAAAACAAATGTCTGTTATGTTTGTCCATGAGCCGTTCTAAGATTCGTATAGTTGCTTTAGTTTAGGGAAAAACAGTCTAAATGTTTGTCCATGAGCCGTTCAAAGATTCGTATAGTTGCTTTAGTTCCGGGAAAAACAGTCTAAATGTTTCTCCATGAGTCATTCCAAGATTCGTATAGTTGCTTTAGTTCCGGGAAAAAACAGTCTAACTGTTTGTCCATGAGCCGTTCTAAGATTCGTATAGTTGCTTTAGTTCCGGGAAAAACAGTCTAAATGTTTGTCCATGAGTCGTTCTAAGATTCGTATAGTTGCTTTAGTTCCGGGAAAAACAGTCTAAATGTTTCTCCATGAGCCGTTGTAAGATTCGTATAGTTGCTTTAGTTCCGGGAAAAACAGTCTAAATGTTTGTCCATGAGCCGTTCTAAGATTCGTATAGTTGCTTTAGTTCCGGGAAAAACAGTTCAAATGTTTGTCCATGAGCCGTTCTAAGATTCGTATAGTTGCTTTAGTTCCGGGAAAAACAGTTCAAATGTTTGTCCATGAGCCGTTCTAAGATTCGTATAGTTGCTTTAGTTCCGGGAAAAAACAGTCTAAATGTTTGTCCATGAGCCGTTCTAAGATTCGTATAGTTGCTTTAGTTCCGGGAAAAGCAGTCTAAATGTTTGTCCATGAGCCGTTCTAAGATTCGTATAGTTGCTTTAGTTCCAGGAAAAGCAGTCTAAATGTTTGTCCATGAGCCGTTCTAAGATTCGTATAGTTGCTTTAGTTCCGGGAAAAAATGTTTGCTTTTAAAAAACAAGTCATTTTTTTTTTAAATAGCCTCGTAAGATCGACACTTTAATATGGATGCCATTTATGGCTGCAAACTCGTTTGTAAATATTTAATCTCTCAACTGCATACAAGCGCTTTTTCATATCAATAGTTAAAAATAAATTACAAGGAATGATGTCTGTCTTATTAACGAGACCCATCCTTCTTTGAAACTTGTGGACTGATGCTGTCGAAGATGACAGAATCTAAATCATTTGACAACTATCAACAAACAAAATAGTGAAGAAGGCCGGAGAATATAACGGCCGAAACTTTGTAATAAATATGGCGACAGAGATGAGGACAATAGTCCGAATAATGTAAATAATGAAAATATCGAGTATGTATCACTCAAAAGCTAAGCAATGTATTATGAAACACGAAAATTTCGTTATCTACAAAGAATACTTAAAGTCATCAGAAGACACTTTACGTTTGGAGAAAATCTTCAGAATAGATTTCTTGTACAAATGAATCTTTCAAATAATAATTACCTTGATCTGCCGTAATGTCAATCGACATCTCCAATTACCTTGGTCTACCCACTATCCTTCTCCTCATCCTTTCTTCTATCACTCTTATCTGCTCTCGCTCCAAATCTTCCGCAACCCCTTGCATCCTAGTGGCTTCACGCCTTGCTTGGGGGCACAATGCTTTAAAATATATATATATATATATATATATATATATATATATATATATATATATATCGTATTTTCCGGCATACAAGACACTGTGGCATGGAAGACGCACCCTGGTATTGGAAAGAGATTTCTAAATCTCCTGCATCTCTTCTACACTCTCTCTTGTTAAAGTTGGTGAATGCTACCATAATCCTTGCCTTCAGTTCATTTTTTGTGTTACAAGGAGTTTTGTTGGTCTCTCGCTCAACGGTTGCCCCTCACATAATAATCAAGTGGGGATACAGTCTGGGGAGACTCTTATAATATACATAGTTTTTAAAGATACAACAGAACAGAAGAATTTTAAAAAAAATTAAAAAATCACCCCTTATATCAGGCCAACTAACTCTCCAGACTGCAGTAAGCATCAATAAACTACTGAAGAATTCAAAATTGATCTCTGCATTTAAGTATTGAATTAATGGTTAAATTTACCTTTGAAACGTTCAATTGGAATTCTTCTGCTGTCACTTAATTTAAAGACGATTTGATGCACGTAGGTCCTTATTTTCTGTACAAACAATTATTTTTATTTCATGGATGACAGAACAGGAGGCAATTTATAAGATAAAATTAATATAGTGTAAAGATGGGAAAATAAAAATTAGAATTATTTATAGATACAATATTTGAAGAGTTTGAGAAATATAATAGCTAATTAAGTAAAACTTTTATTATGGAACCTATATGAATAAATGCGAGATTGGAGCGCAATTCGCCCACGATTCTGAGATTAAAATGCCGCAGCTCTACTTTATAGTAATATATGCGGTGTTTACTCGTTCCCCCACGAGGGCGAGATGTGACACAAGGTCTTTTTAAACTGGGGACCCGAGCGCGTACACCCGGGCAAGGGACAAAAATTGCCCACAGCACACGCAACCGTCGGTTGAGCTGGTCTTGGTGCGAGCACCGATCCCTCCCTCTTGTGCAATGGGAGGGCGCGGCCTCGGGTAACTGTTCCCCAGGGCTGGGCACCTCTTCAGTATAATTTTCCTCAGTTGCCCCTCTGCTCTTTGACAGAGAAGCCCCTGAGCGCACTCTACCCAAAGACAGAGACGGAACTGAGAGATAATACGTAGATATTTACTCAACCCTCCATGAGGCCAGGTTGTGACAAAAGGTCAGTTTTATGTAGGGATTCCGAGCGCGTACACCCGGGCAAGGAACAAAAATCCCCCGAGCCCCCACGAGTGTCGGCTGAGCTGGCCTCGGTGCGTGCACCGATCCTTCTCTCTAGGGCAATGAGAAGGCGTGGACTCGGGCAGCTGTTCCCCAGTGCCGGCACCTCTCAGTATAATTTTCCTCAGTTGCGACTCTGTTCTTTGACGGAGTTGCCCCTGAGTGCACTCTGCCCAAAGACAGAGGCGCAACTGAGAGATGATAAATAATACGGACGAATTACATTATAGTAATTTATGCGCCAAAAGCTCAAAATATGCATTATATATTATCTACTTCTAGGAAATATCACTCTTCAATTTGCATATATTTATTTTGAAAATTTTATTTGCTTAATTAACCCTCCTTCATTACTGTTCATTTAATCGAGGATTGTTTTGATTTTCAAATAAAAAAAAGTTCTGTTTAGGAATATCGTCTTATATAGTGCAGAAAATCTTTGAAATTTGTATTTTACTTGACCTTCAACAAGTTGGCATCTATTTGTAAAACTTTCCTTAACTATAACAAGCCAATTTATGAATGAAATGTTCATTTAAAATTTTTGTTTCAAAGATTTCAAATAGTAAATATATCTATCTTACTTTGCGAAGCGATAGCATGGTATTTCTACAAGCATTTCAGAATACTTCTACTATATCCATAATTAATTTTCTTAAGTGTTGGTTTTCATTTTTTTTTTTATTAAAGATGTCTTCGAGAATTGATAAATTCTGCTTATTACTTTCTTGGTGAAGTATATGGGTAATGTCCTGGCAAACATACTTCTTAATTTTGAATGTGGACGGGAATGCAGATGTTGTGCAATAATGGTCGAATCATCCGTGTGTAGCCATGTGTAGCCGTTCTGATGGAGTTATTGTACCTTCTTTAAGAGAGATGCAATCTCCCAACAGATATTTAAATTTAACCAAAAAACAAAAATTTAATATTGACTATTTGTCCCAGGTATCATAACCCTGAAGAAGATATTGGGAATATATCGAAAAGACTCGGAAAAATAAAATGAATACAACCATAGTACCATTCTTTTTTATTTAATCATCATTCAACTAAGCTTATATGTGATAACGAAAGGATCTTATTAAAAATAGACATACACAACATTCCTAAATAGTTTAATCAGACATGCATATATATATATATATATATATATATAAATATATATATATATATGTGTGTGTGTGTGTGTGTGTGTGTGTGTGTGTGTATTACACACACGCACACACACATGCATAAACGCACATTTATATATATATATATATATATATTAACCCTCAAGGGAAGTTGAAATCCTCTCGTCCTCATCTAAGTAAAATGTTTGAGTAAATATATGGTTGTGTTATATGGTGTTCTGTGTTTGTGTTCGCTTGATTGTGAATTGAAAATGGCCGGAAGTAAAAAGAAAGAAGGAAAATAAAGGAAGGAAGGAAGGAAGGAAATAATGAAAAAATGAAAGAAAGAAAGAAAATAATAAACTATGAGCTATATCCGATGAAAGAAAAGAAAAAGGCAAAGATAAATAAATAAATAAATAAATAAAGAGTAAAAGACTGAAAGAAGGAATGAAGGTAAAACAAAGGTAGAAAGAAAGAATGAGAGAAGGAAAGATAATAACGGAAATAAGACAAAGAAAGAAAGAAAGAAAGGGAGCATTAGGCACAAAATAAAGAAAAAAAAATGAAGCAAAAAAAAGATACAAGACACAATGTAAAAAAGATGGAAGCAAAAATTCGAAATAAAGAAAATGAAAGAAAGAGAGCGATCAAAAAAATAAAACAAAGAGATAAACAGACGTTAAAAACCAAAAAAATAAAAATACTAAAGAAACGAATAAACATCAAGAAAAAACGAAAATATAGAAAGAAAGAAAGAAAAAAAAAAAGGGAAGATAGAAGTGAATGGACTTCAAGAAAGAACGAAAAAATTTGAAAGAAATAAAGAAGCAAACAGACCATCAACAAAAAAAAACTCGAAAGAAAGAAAGAAAGAAGTAAACAGACCATAAAAAGAACGAAAAAACTCGAAAGAAAAAGAAAGATGTAGACCATCAAAAAAAGAACGAAAAAATTCGAATGAAAGAAAGAAAGAAGTAAATAGACCATCAAATAAGAACGAAAATCTCAAATGAAAGAAAGAAAGAAGTAAACGGACCATAAAAAGAATGAAAAACTCGAAAGAAAGAAAGAAAAAGCAAGTAGACCGTCAAAAAAGAACGAAAAAACTCGAAAGAAAGAAGCAAATAGATAATAAAAAAGAACGAAAATCTCAAATGAAAGAAAGAAAGATGTAAACAGGCCATAAAAAGAACGAAAAACTCGAAAGAAAGAAAGAAAAAAGTAAACAGACCATCAAAAAAAGAACGAAAAACTGGAAAGAAAGAAAGAAAAAGCAAGTAGACCGTCAAAAAAAGAACGAAAAAACTCGAAAGAAAGAAAGATGTAAATAGACCTCAAAAAAGACCGAAAATAGTCAAATTAAAGAAAGAAAGAAATAGACCATCAAAGAGAACGAAAATATCAAATGAAAGAAAGAGAGAAGTAAACTGGCCATTAAAAAAAGGAACGAAAAAACTCGAAAGAAAGAAAGAAAAAGCAAGTACACCGACAAAAAACAACAACAAAAAAAAAACAGAAAGAAAGAAAGAATTAAAAAGACCATCAAAAAAGAGCGAAAATCTCAAATGAAAGAATGAAGTAAACAGGCCATAAAAAGAACGAAAACTTGAAAGAAAGAAAGAAAGAAAGGAGTAAATAGTCCTAATAAATGAAGGAAAGAACTCGAATGAAAGAAAGAAAGAAGTAAATAGACCGCCAAATAAGAACGAAAATCTCAAATAGAAGAAAGAAAGAAGTAAAGGGACCATAAAAAGAATGAAAAACTCGAAAGAAAGAAAGAAAAAAGAAGTAAACAGACGATCAAAAAAAGAACGAAAAAACTCGAAAGAAAGAAAGAAAAAGCAAGTAGACCGTCAAAAAGAACGAAAAAACTCGAAAGAAAGAAAGAAGCAAATAGACCATCAAAAAAGAACGAAAATCTCAAATGAAAGAAAGAAAGAAGGAAACAGGCCATAAAAGGAACGAAAAACTCGAAAGATACAAAGAAAAAGCAAGTAGACCGTGAAAAAAAAAGAAAAAACACGTAAGAAAGAAAGAAGTAAATAGACCTCAAAAAAGAACGAAAATAGTCGAATGAAAGAAAGAAAAGTAAATAGGCCATCAAAAAAAGAACGAAAATCTCAAATGAAAGAAAGAAATGCGTAAATAGGCCATGAAAAGAACGAAAAACTCGAAAGAAAGAAAGAAGTAAATAGACCATCAAAAAAAGAACGAAAAAACTCGAAAGAAAGCAAAAAAGCAAGTAGACCGTCAAAAAAGAACGAAAAACTCGAAAGAAAGAAAGAAAGAAGTAAATAGACCAAAAAAAAGAACGAAAATAGTCGGATGAAAGAAAAAAAAAGCAACTAGACCGTCAAAAAAGAACGACAAACACTAAAGAAAGAAAGAAAGATGTAAATAGACCTAAAAAATGAACGAAAATAGTCGAATGACAGAAAGAAGTAAATAGAACATAAAAAAGAACGAAAATCTCAAATGAAAGAAAGGAAGAAGTAAACAGATCATAAAAAGAACGAAAAAGTCGAAATAAATAAATCAATCAATAAGTAAACAGCCCATCAAAAAAAGAACGAAAAAACGCGAAAGAAAGAAAGAAAAAGCAAGTAGACCGTCAAAAAAGAACGAAAAAACTTGAAAGAAAGAAAGAAGCAAATAGACCATCAAAAAAGAACGAAAATCTCAAATGAAAGAAAGAAAGAAGTTAACAGGCCATAAAAAGAACGAAAAAGTCGAAAGAAAGAACAAAAAGTAAAAAGCAAGTAGACCGTCAAAAAAGAAAGAAAAAACACGAAAGAAAGAAAGAATTAAAAAGACCATCAAAAAAGAACGAAAAAACTCGAATGAAAGAAAGAAAGAAGTAAATAGACCTCAAAAAAGAACGAACATAGTCGAATGAAAGAAATAAAGAAGTAAATAAACCATCAAAAAAGAACGAAAATCTCAAATGAAAGAAAGAAAGAAGTAAACAGGCCATAAAAAGAACGAAAAGCTCGAAAGAAAGAAAGAAAAAAGTAAACAAACCATCAAAAAAAGAACGTAAAACTGGAAAGAAAGAAAGAAAAAGCAAGTAGACTGTCAAAAAACAACAAAAAAAACTCGAAAGAAAGAAGTAAATAGACCATCAAAAAATAACGAAAATCTCACATGGAAGAGAGAAAGAAAAAAGTAAACAGGCCATAAAAAGAACGAAAAACTTGAAAGAAAGAAAGAAAGAAAGAAAGAAAGAAAGAAAGAAGTAAACAGACCATCAAAAAATGAACGAAAAAACTCGAAAGAAAGAAAGAAGTAAATAGACCTCAAAAAAGAACGAAAATAGTCGAATGAAAGAAAGAAAGAAAGAAGTAAATAGACCTCAAAAAAGAACGGAAATAGTCGAATGAACGAACGAAAAATTTAAATAGACCATCAAAAAAGAACGAAAAATTCGAAAGAAAGAAAGAAAATGTATGTAGACCGTCAAAAAAGAACGAAAAACCTCGAAAGAAAGAAAGAAAGATATAAATAGACCTAAAAAAAAAGAACTAAAAACTCGAAAGAATGAAAGAAAGAAAGAAAGAAAGAAGTAAACAGACCATCAGAAAAAGAAAAAGAAAAATCTCGAAAGAAAGAAAGAAAGAAAAAGTAAGTAGACCGTCAAAAAAGAATGAAAAAACTCGAAAGAAAGAATGATGTAAATAGACCTAAAAAAGAACTAAAAAACTCGAAAGAATGAAAGAAAGAAAGAAAGAAAGAAGTCAACAGACCATCAAAAAAGAACGAAAATAATCGAATGAAAGAAAGAAATTAGTAAATTGGCCATCACAAAAGAACTAAAAAAACTCGAAAGAAAGAAAGAAAGAAGGAAAGAAAGAAGTAAATAGACCTCAAAAAAGAACGAAAATAGTCGAATGAAAGAAAGAAAGAAAGAAAGAAGTAAATAGACCATCAAAAAAGAATGATAAAACTCAAAAATAAGAAAGAAAGAAGTAAACAGATCATAAATAGAATGAAAAAACTCGAAAGAAAGAAAGAAGTGAATAGAGCTTCAAAAAAAAAAGAACGAAAAAACCCGAAAGAAAGAAAGAAAAAAGAAGGAAAAAAACTCGAAAGAAAGAAATAAAGAAGGAACTAAATAGACGATCAAAAAAGAACGAAAATAAACCATCAAGAAAGAAAGATAAATATCGAAAAAAGAAAGAAAGAAAGAAAGAAAGAATGAAGCGAATAGACCATCACGAAAGAACGAAAAAATAAAAAGAAATAAAGAAGCAAATAAACGGGAAAAAGTAATATGGAAAAACAAAGACAAAGAAAAAGAACGATAAGCTAAAAGACTTAAAGCGTTTTCTCTCATCTTTTCTGGTGGAAAATATCTAAGCAGATGACGGAAAATATGGATGGAGGGAAAAGTAAAGAGAAAAACTTGGGACACAGTGTAGCATAACGAGAAAGAACGAAGGTTAAGAGGGAAACATTGTGGGGGGATGAGGACGGTAGGGGGGTGTGCTCTCAAAGAGAACGTAGGAGAAGGTTCTGGTTTGGTGGGATGGGTTGGTTGCGTAGCCCAGCAGTCAGCCCAACACATACTTATGTTAACAGCCCACATACTAACTGCATATCAATCGACAAATCTATGTGACCGCAATCCGCGCAACTTTTCGTCTTTAACACCCTGACACCCCATTCGCGTCCCAGCCTCATTTTACCCCAACGTCCAATTCCCCCCCCCCCACCTTCAACGCTGTAACCCGCATCTGTTTCCCCTCATTCGCATTTTCACTTGCTGTTAATATTAGCATCTGTAAGAGACGCTAGTTTATAACGTTTCATTGCTAACCTCTCACTCATTGTAGCTGTTTGTCTGTCTGTCGTATTCTTAATAAATCTAACACTTTCGGTATTTGCTTTCTCTTGTAGGCCTTTCTGTCCGTCGATTACTCAATCTCGTTGTATTTCTTCACTAACCTACCTTTCTATATAACTCTAGATACTCTGCACTTGCTCGTGTATGTGTATGTATAAGGAAATGTAACGTCGTGACAAGCAGGTCTGTCTTTGTACACACCCACACATAGAGACGCCCCAATATATATATATATATATATATATATATATATATATATATATATATATATATATATATAATTATTCATTTTTAGAAAATTTATAACATAAACATGTTATAAAATCACTACAAAATAGCCATTTTGTTTCAACACCCTCGGTGTCTTATCAAGTGATGATGTTGAATGTAAAATAAATGGTTTTAAAAGTTTCAAATTCGTTAACGATCTTTCACAAGGGGAAAACGTTGTTCCAAAAGCTAGAATGACCAATCAAAATACAAGTAAAGGAAAATTCAAAAAGCCTGACAACGAAGACATGTTATAATAGCTATTCAGATCTTTAAAATCCGGGTAAAATTATAAAAAAAAGATTTATTCTAACCAATAATTATTAAATTATATGATAGAATTTGATATTAAAATTAAACACTGCCAATGTTAAAATCCAAATTTAATCACTATTAAGCTTAAAATTGTAAAGTTACCGAGGAGAAAAGGGGAAATACATATGTTATTCAATTTGTTGAAATTACGTTAGAATATACGTTACTCCATCCGGTCTTCCAACAATATATATGTATTCATTTTAATCCCAAGTGTGCGAATGGGTATATATATATATATATATATATATATATATATATATATATATATATATATATATATATATATATATGTATGTATGTATTCATGTTTCATTAAAAACGACAGACAAGGTACTACAATTAACGGCCACAATGGGCTGTGTTCGAATTTAAACCATCTCTATAACTCTAAAAACATAGCCACAACGCACACACTGAATTAAACTGAATAAATAAAATCATACTTGATAATGGCTAAAACTATAGCCGAAATCGCTCGGATTTGGACAGTTTCTACACACTCTGCGTCCAAAAAAGAAAACACTTGTTCGAACCCAAAAATAAATGAATTAAAAGTTTAATTGTAGTGACTTGTCTGTTGTTATTAATGAAACATGTATTCATGAAGGATTGCTATCTAAATACACAATTATATTTAGATAGCCGAGTTCGAATTCCAGTCGAATCCATTACATTCACTTACGTGCTAATACCCTTGGGAAAGGTATGCATCCTCTTCCTCTCCCCCCAGCTATGGGTAAAATAGCAAGACAGACTGGGTTCTATAGCCTTAGATGGCAACTGGTCTAGGAGAAGGACAACTCTGAATTCAAAACCTGCGGAGGGTCGTTTGGGAACCTTGTGGCACGTAGTGTACCAGGTCTCTGTATTCGTCCCTTCAAAAAGTGTGGATGGTCCTGCACGAAACCTTCACCACTATAATCAAATCTCATGTGCCGGTGTCGGGCTGTCGGTTTCCTGGAAACTGATCTGCTTGACTCTCATACGTCGAATCTCGGCGGGAGAGTCGACTATAAATCTTATTTTATTATTATAATAGATTATAATAAAACATGTTGAAATCGCTACACAAAAAACGTTCATGTTTCAATACTATGATTGTACTTCTTCAGGCAATGGTAAGTAAAGGTGATTGAATGATCTTTAAGGAAATTTAAAAATAAAGTCTTACCTCTTTTCCGAAAGCTAAGAGTGGGGGACATAAGGCCAGAATTAAAATTAGACTTTTTGGTATGTCTTGATTAACCAATTAAATGTCAGATCTACGTTAAATAGAAAATCTCAGAGGGTGGAGGTGAGTGAGTTATTTTTTCATGTCATTATAAACCGGAACATTGACAACTGCGTAAAATTCAATTGAGTGATTGATAATGGACGCGAGGCTGCATGGTCTTATCAGATTGAGTTTTCAGACCGAAGGCATCCGAGTCATCCAACATGACCTTTTACCTTGTTTTGCTGCCAGCAATCGTCAGCCAAATTTTGTAAAAAATATTTTTGATACACTTTCAGAAGACATTATTAATGTTTTTTTTTTTCGTTTTCTTGTTTTTGTTCTATGTCAGTTTCTTTGTTTTTCTAATATCCCGACTTCATGCATCAGTTCGGTTTATTTTTGTTTCTTCTTTTCAGTTTTCGATTTTTAAATAAACAAAATAATAAAAAAAAGTAAAATAATTCAACCATAACAAATAATAAACAAATTAAAAAACCACTTCCGTTAGAATAGACGAAATAGAACAAATAAAATAGGAAATAAACACATAAAATACAAGTAAAAATAATCAATCCGAAAAAATAAATAATGTAAACAATAAACAAATCAACAAAACGATCCCGCCAAAATAACCGTTAGACTTCAACGACCAATCCAAAAAATTGGACAAGAAAATGGCTATAACTGCTATTTAACAATAAAAAATACTACATTGCTGAAAAATCGAAAAACGAATAGAGTATCTGTCTATATTTCTGAGATGAGATATTATGTACACCATTTACGTTATTCGGACTATTGTCCTCATCTATTGTCCTCATCTTTCGACATTCTAACAACCTGAAGAAGGCCGGAGCGTACAATGGCCGAAACTTTGTAATAAATATGGCGACAAAGATGAGGACAATAGTTCGAATAATGTAAATAGTGCGAATAGAGTATATAAAAAATACATATATATATATATATATATATATATATACATGGCCAGTCCTCTCAAGTATCCATAAGGGTGTTCTTCCCAGTTGTATACAAATAGAATTGTGGTTGCTGAGTCATCTACACAGGGAGGATTAGCCAGCGTTTAGATGTAAGGATAAAACAGTACGTGCCAAGTAAGATCAGGAATCACAACTTGGTTTTACATGAATTAATCCCAAATATCTATGGATCCTCAATTTGTAAACACCCTTCAAAGAACAGTAAATGTGCGGCTGAATTCAGCGTTTACTGTTTTGTCCTATTTACACACTTTATTTCACCTAAAAGTACCAGAGTCACTGTATGTCAAGTCGCAAAAAACGTCTCTGTAAACAGCGTGATTGTTTTCTGGGGCTTGCTATCATTAGTCTCTAGTATCACCATCCGCCTTTTTTTTCTCACTTCTCTATCCTCTAATCAATCAGTCGCTAATTGTTTCAATCACATTATAAATTACATTGACTTTCCTTCACCAAATGACTTATCGAAAATATTAGAGAGAAGAGATCTCCATAAGTGAAATGTGAGAGAGAAGAAAGTTCTAGCTTAGAACATGCGGTTACATCTGGCCATTTCAACTGGAAAATAGTGAGACCTTGCCGCCAATCTAGTACTGTGCTTAAATTTATAAATTCTAGGTAGCAAAGACAAAGGAACATCAGATTAATTGCCATGAAAATACTTATGTAAAAAGTATATGACATTTACTAGGCACGTACTAACAAATTGTCAGGACTTCAACCAAAATTCGTCCAAATTACTAACAGACAGCCAACATGGAAGACCTTTCATGACATTAATCCATATAATATCCTGCAATCTTTAAATCAAACTGTATTCCAAAATATAACTTGAAGAAAACGCAAAGCGCTCATCACCGTCACCAAGTAAATATGTCCATGAACAAAAGCTGAGTATCATCTACCATGTATATAGCTATGAAAGCAGAATAACATGATATTTTATTACTTCCAAGCTCACAAGAAAATTTAAATGACCCATAGGGAGTTGATATGCCGTCAAACAGACAAATCAACAAATAAATACACGGTACTTCAACCCTTTCATCCCTTCGTTCCGGAAACAATTTTAACCCTTCTCCATGTGCTCCTGAGTCAAGATTCACTAATAATTGGTAAGTAATGTTTCGTGGTAGATATAAAAATAGTTACAAGTGTTTACCCACCGTTAAACCGGTGGCTGGGCATTAACTCATTTTTCTCTACCACCGGTAAAGCAGTGGTCAGGGCCCAATGTGTTTATAAGAAAAGTGCCGAAAAACATGTACAAAAGAAAAGGGAACTAAATATAAATATGACAGATTTATAGCCCCAAATACTTTCTGATAGCTTCACTGACGGTCCAGGTTGAGAGACCCTGCACGCTTCGTGGTAAAAACAATCTTTTTTTTTAATCTAAAACACATACACAAAAAACAATGTAAAGGCGTGGATACGATGATATAACTTTCGATAACATCAGAATATTACGGCTTTTCTGATTGGTTCTTCAAAATAAGATAGCCAATAGCAAAACATGACGCAAGTGTTTACCGTTCAACCAGTGGATGGGCATTAAATTATTTTTCTCTACCACTGTTCAACCGGTGGCTGGGAATGGAGCCATTTTTTCTCTAGCACCAGTAAAGCGGTTATCAGGGTTTAAAAGGTTAAACAAAAGATTAGAAAGGAAACTGCTACAAGTAACGTAAGGTTTGTGGTTGCGACAGTCCCGACTTAAAATGTGAAAGCCATTCCTTGCCCCAGTTAACCACTGATTGAAAGTCCTTTTCGATCGCAGTTTCCACTTGTACTTTCCGATCTCCCTAATAGTTCTCTTTAGTAGGCCATGGTAGTTTAGTATTATGAATATACTAAATATACTTATATAACACAAATTAAGAATAGACCAATATCAACAGACTCAGGTAATTGGAATTAACGGTTTTCATTTGCTTATAATTACACGCCTGCAACATCACGCTCACGCTATCAAAGGCAATAGATTTTGAATAAAAAGCTGGATGTAGGTCACCAGATAATAATGCCGTGCCAATTTTGGATAATTAATGGATAGGGTTTTCCAAAAGTCACCTAGGTATTTTTCCTGCATTTTTTTTTCAGAATACAGATTGTCATGGTGAAATTATCCAACATTTTATCATATATAGTTCAAATTTAATCGAAGTTCTTAACAAATGGAAAGAGATGTATTTGAGTTTTGAACCACTGTGTATAAATGTTGTAGAGTAGTTTTCACAGTGGAGGCTTGTATTTCGCTAAGTCGGTCCTAAAAAGGGTCCGACGTACAAAACGTCAGGAACTTGAAATAAGAGTTAATGACGCAGCAATGTAGTTGTGATGGTTGATACTTCAATATCCGACATCGACTGACTCGCTCAACTTCACTGAGCTCAACTAGTCACTGCTACTACTACTTATTATCTGTGGGAGAGTCTATTACAATAGAATAGGTAATGTTCTGGTATAACAGTAAAAGATTAACAAATATTCGTTATACACACAAACATATATATATATATATATATATATATATATATATATATATATATATATATATTATAAATTATTTTTTTGACAAATATGATTCCTTCAATGCATAAGTGTTCTCATGTTTAAAAAAACAGGAGCCAAAATCTTCAATATTATTATTAAAATTAAATTGACTTAAAAGTATCAAGGTCTGTTTCATTCTCAAGCGAAATTTTGGAGCTTTCAAAAATTTCGCTTGAGGATGAAACAGAAACTTGATATTTTAAATAGAAATGCACTGTAACAGAGAAAATCACTTTTATTTCCCAAGTATATATATATATATATATATATATATATATATATATATATATATATATAAATTATTGCTTTGTATGTAAAGAAATTGTTAACATTTAAAAACATAAAGAAAAAAAGGAAAAAAATCATTAAAGTGGAAAAAGTCAACAAAACAAAAATATCACTTAAATTTATTTTTTTTGTTTTTAAATTGAGGTTAAATTTTACATAAAGATATTTCGCAGCGAATTCATCGAGGATCTTTAAAAGCTTCTCTTAAATTTCACTAAATGTTATAATTTTGCCTACTTACGA